TTCAATCCTCTTGTATATAATTATATACTGAATTATAGTTGTATAAATAATCATGGAACAAAAAAAAATATTATATCAAATGATAATATCGAAACATGCTAAACCTGTCTTTAAATATTTATTTCTATAGAAAATATATTACAATAATATTTCTTTAGGGCACAACCCTAACAGGATTTGAGCACCATTTTAGCTAAATCATGCCAAACAGGATTTAAGGACCTATTAAATTTCATAGCAAGTTAAATCCAATATTTCCCTCTTTCTTGTAAATACCTAATTTGCTAAATCTAGGAGTTCAGTAGAATTATGGGATTTGGCCGGAGAATGCAAAAGGAGGAAATATTGCTACCTTTGAATTGAGCAAGCTCTTGTCGTCTTTGTTCCTTCTTATCCAAAAGGGCAAAGACGAGGAGGTGTGACTTCTGATCTGATTGGAAGGAACTTCATCAAATGAGGTGAAGATGTTATTTGGTGTCATTTTTCAAAACCAACTATTACGCAAGTCGGATAGCAACAAACAGCTAGAGAAAAGGAGATACAACCCTAACAACAAACCGACAGTGGAGGTGAAGTCGAAGATCAAAGAGAAGTCGAAAATGAACAAAGGGTGGAGGATGATCAAAGACAGAGAAAAAAAAAAGAGAATAAAATAGACGCACAACCAATTGGTTAGATAAGGTCATTTTGCAGCAAATTTGAGGCGGACTAGAATTTGCTTTGTTGTGGAAATTTTCACCCAAATTTTGCCGCAAAAGTCATCCAAAAATTTCGGTGAAAATTTTCGTAGTAAATTCATTGAGATTTTCAAGAAATAATATTTCTCTATTAAATGTTCCACAAATCTGCATTAAACTATTGACTTTCTCGTAGTGCTTGATTGTTCACCTTGACTAGTGACAATCTACTTGTTAATTTTTCTTATATATTTTTAGCTACATATTATACTACAGACCTTTTGTAAATGAGTATAATATTTATATATTATTTTTGGTAGCTCGACAACCCTACAGAAAAAGGACCATGGGGCAATTATAATGACAAGATTGAAAATAAATAGAATCTCTTATTTTATCACTCTTGTCATTTTCCCATTTCCATCTGTCAACTATTATAAAGTAAAGTAAGGTATGGGTAATAATAGATACAGCATCTTGCATTAGGTGAAAGTAATTGAAGAAGTTCATATTATACAATTGAGATCGGTTGTTTGATTTCTCGTTATTTGATATATATCATAAGTCAGATTTACACAAAGGGATAATTGAAATCCAATAATTGTGTAGGATGTTAGCTTTTGGTGAAAGTAATTGAATAATAGAAGTAAGATGGTGATGATGATTGCCAACAATGATCTTCTTGTGCAATTGCCAGAATATCCAATGGATTTCTTTTATCTCTTTGCTTCTAAGCCTCCTCCATTCGAAAAATGATATTCCATTTATAGCCTTAAATTTTGTCAGAATCTGGAATATAATATTGAACAGCTCACTCAATATTTGTATAATATTTACATGCATATAGCTCATTATATTTGTCTTTTCAACCTGCTTGATTCTACGATAATTACGTAAAATTTTGATATTGTTTTGTTCATGATCAGTTAATTATATAATGAAAGTTTCAATTAAATTTCAAGTGCTTAATTGGTGTTGATGTAGACTAAAATCGAAACTTGTTTTATATAAACATTTAATTTCATTATAAGTTTATTTAAATTGAAATTCTGATTATCCTAAGTTTAATTATAAAAATTTTCAATCTAAATATCATCTAAAAATTGATGCATATCAAATGAATTTTTTTGAGTCCTATCCATAGCCTACTTTAATTTGTGGAGCAGCACTGTTGCAAAAGGATTTTTAGAAAATCAAGAGACGGGTAATGAAGTCAACATCATTGGGCGAGCTAAGTTTATATGAATATATTTTATATTTTTCTCAATATTGATGGATTGATATTAATCAATAGAAACAAAAATACTGAATTTAATCATTTGAGCTCCTGCTCACCGAACAATTTTGTCAAACAAAATGTAGCAATTTAATTAAGAGGTCAATCCTCTATCAAGCATCTCATTGTACTGCAAATATGATATCTGCCGCTGCAGCTTAATTTGTTCGTAGAACTCCATGATGAAGTTTTCCGCTCTTGAATCTATTTCCTGTTCTTCCAGCTCCGCTTTTTCCACCGCTCCCGTGTCCAATATTGACGACGAAATTTCTAAATCTATTTCATCGTTATGCTGATCCTCCATACCAAATCCAGCCTCCAAGAGTTTCATGGCCTTAGATCTCTCAACGAAGAATTCCTCGTCATCATCGAAGCTAAAGGATGGCGTGATGCAGGGGATTCGAGGGAGGCGGAGCGAAGCGGGGCGGTTAATCTTGAAGTGGAATGCAGGAGTGTCATCGAAGGAGAATTCTCGCTCCCAGTAATGTAGCCGATCGGCACGGCGGAGGTTCTTAAAGTTGAGGAAGATACGCTGCTTGAATGCGGCGCCTTTTCGGGCCCAGAAAAGGGCAAGCCGGAGGAGGCGCCATGGACGCCGGTAGGCGGCGGGTGACCCGTTCTTCTTTCCCATGATCAGAAAAGTTCGTCTTTTTTGGTGAGACTGATGTGGTGACTGAAAGCTGTGGAGATATATAAATCGGATATCTGGCTGGCTTTGTATCGGAGGACGCGGAAACGTTTTTGAGATTTTGAGGGTGGTGGAAACCACCGATACGCGGGAACGCACCAAACTTGTGGGGCCCGCCATGCCGCGGAAAGCCACCGCTTGTTGGTTCGCGGTATTGGGGAATGCTTTTTATTGTCGTAATTGCCCTTCATACCGAACGAGTTATACCAGGCTCTGAAAAGCGGATCGGACAACGAATCGAAAGAAGAAGAGGTTCATGGTTAAATCGGGATCGAACCGGATGACGTAATAAATAATAATATTATTATAAATATTTAATATAAAATTAACAAATAATAATTAATATATCATATAATGATATAATTAATTGTAATTGATATTACATATTAAATTTAATTTATATAATTATTTAAAATTCACAATATTAAATTATAAAATATAATATAATTAAATATTTTAATAAAAAATTATTTCATTTAGTACATAAAAAAATTTTAGAGGTGAAAAACAAATAAATTTTTAGAGCTATTAATAAAGAATCCAAATAAAATTTAAAAAAATAAATAGATAAAAAATAAAGATTATCATTATAAAATAAATTATAACTAAATAAAAATTATCAATAATTTTATCAACTAAAAAAATTAAAATTATCATATATTAAAATTAATTTTCAAATCATTAAAAAAAAAATAAGTTTAATGGTGTGATATATGAAACTAAAGATGGCTCTTTCTTTTGTATGTTTAGTTCCACTGCACATCCCTAGAAGTCTTGTTTTGTATAGTGTATATACCTTCTTGCTTTCTCTCATGATAAGCTCTTAGAAATCATGAAGAATGTCATTGATGAAATAATAATAATATTATCTTTAATTTAATTTAAGAGTTTTATAATAATATTTTATATAATTATTATTAAGTTTAATATTTTTTATATTACATATTATTTAACAAATAATTATTCAAAAAACTTGAACAGACCGGTTCACGGTTTACCGATTGAACGCGGTTCATCCCAAAACCGCCAGGTTTAATGCAAGGGCGGTTTTCAGACTGGACCGAACCGGTCCTCAAACCGGTTCACGGTTGAACCGGTCATACCGGCCGGTCCGATCCGATTTTTAAAGCACTGAGTTATACGCAAGATTTTGAAAATAGGATCTAATAAACAAATTCGAAGGAGTTGCTCACGGTTCGACTTGTCAAATTGAGATCAAATCAAATGACATAATAAATAATAATATTATTAAAATAATAAAATAGATGTTAATTTTTGTAATATATTCATTCTACATGAAATTACTAAACGACAAGAGGGGGGGTGAATTGTAAAAATCTTTTTCTTAATAAAATTAACCCTAAACAAGAGTTCTAATTTTTTTGTTGTTTTTTGAAATTTATAACAAAATTTTAAGCAAATTTTCTTCCACAAAATTTCACATGCAATAGATATGAAAAATTAAAAGCAAGTAAAAATAACAACGATAAGGAAAAATACACCAGAAATTTATAGTGGTTCGGTCAAAATATGACCTACGTCACTCCCCGGAGTCCTCCGCTCCGGGATTTTCATTATCAAAATAGTTCTCCTTTTGCCCCCCTCGCAAGGCGGAGAAGCCTTTACAAACCTCCCTTTCACCAACCGGCGTGGCGGAGTGCCAAACTCTTTTTCGCCCTCCTGGCGAGGCAGAGAACCTTCTCATTTTCTCCCTCTTGAGAAAGGCAGAGAACCTCGAGGTAACGGATGTAGCAGCCTTCCCTTGGAGATCCTCCTCAAATCCTTCTAGGCGCAGGAGGAGCAAGATGCAGCAAGCTGGAGCAACCGTGGATCTCTCCTCACAACGCTCACCTCCTCTTTCCTCTCTCAACCTCAAGAATTTCTCTAGAGCTCTCTTCACTTGGAATCCCTCTCTCCCACGTTCACCCCACTGTAAATCTTACTGAAAAAGACTTGATTGACATCTAAAACAGGCTCCAAAAACATCTGATTTCAAAAGTAGCCGTTACTGTTCGTAACAGTACGATTCCACATCGTACAGGTACGATATGTATAAACAGAGTCGTCCTGGTACGAAAGATGTACGAACAGTTCAAAAATTCGTACTGTACGATATAATATCGTACGGTACGATCATCAAAACAACTATTCGTACTAGGACGATGTCTGGACGATCAGTATGTGTCTTGTTCATCGTATGGGGTACAATTACTATCGTTATAGTACGATGTGACAAAAACAAAGAGATGTCCAGGACGATTTTCGGACGATCACTTACATCTCTGTTCATCGTATGATGTATCAAGTTCGTACAGTCCGATGTTCAAAAATTAATGGCCTGGATTACATGCACTAATTACGGGTTATTTAAGTAAGTATTAAAAATAGATCGTACAGTAACGAACTCATTCGTACAGTACGAGCGCGCAAAATCACTTACTCAAATTAAACTAGGCTAGGGTTTTGGATCTGAACATATCGTACAGTACAAAAATATCGTACAGTACGATCTATTCACAGGATCGTCCACATAGCTCTGATCGTATGGTACGAATTAAATCGTACAGTACGATCACCAGAGAAGAATTATATGACATTTGCATTTAAAACAAACTCTCCCTGTGTGTGTGCATGGTTGCTCTTCTTCTATGTATTTTGTGGCCAGACTCAATAAAATAATAAAAATAAATAGAAAAATACAATGTTTGACTCATACTCCTAATCTACCCTTTCTCGAGTCTTCCTTGCTGGAGGTCAGGGTGGTGTGATGTTGCGCTGATCGGTTGTAGTGACTCAAGGACAATAACAAATAAAATAGTATTCAGTAAAAAGTTATTCCAAAACACTCATTATTTGGCATCATCAAAATCTCAAACTCGGGGTCATGGGTTGCAACACTACATTCTATTTATATAGCCCTAAATTCAAATAACATAAACATGACATCAATTGAGTTTATGAAATATAAATAAATAACACATAATATAAGTGTCGCATCAAATAACTCAATAAAACATAAATAAATGCATAGCTTTTGCCATCAAACAAAATATTCATAATTTCATATCAAGTTAAACTTCAAAATTAAAACATAAATATAGAAATAAATCTAGAAGTTGTTAGGAAAATTGATGTGTCCTCAAAAATTGCTTTGATTGAGCACGAATCTCGAGGTATATTCAAGTTTGAAACTTTCAAAATTATATTTAGGATCATCTGAATTCCAATTTCAACAAACTTAGAGCTAAACTGAACATCTCAAAGAGACGAACCAAACAACATCAAAATTGGTCCAACCCAAGCCCAAATGGGTCTGAATCGAGGGCCCAGACCACATTTGGAAAGGTTTAAACTATCATTCGGACAATAAAATGATATCCAAATATGACTTGCTTATAATCAAATCGAGCAGCTTGACGTGAAGAATCCAACGAGCCAAATATCTCTGAATTACGACATCGTTAAGAGACTTAAACAGTTGAAAAAATCTCTACGATCAGGGGAATCAATACGAGCCATCCGATGGAGCACTCCGAACCAACCCCGGATCTTCTCTAAAATTACGGGGTGTACAACTCATGAAAATCTATAAATAGACCCCCACTCTCTACATAAAGGGGACCTTTCGCTGGAGATTGGAGAGAGCTCTGAAGCTTCAAGAGCTCTAGCACCACTGTTCGACTACTGACCGCCGCCAGACTTTAGCCCAACCAACGTCGGACCTTTGCTCGGCCACCGATCGCCATCGGACCACTTGCCGCCGGACCACCGCCCGTCTCTGACTGCTACCGGACTTCAGCCCGACCATCGTCGGACCTTTGCCCTGCCACCGAGCGTTGTCGGACCACCACCTGGCTCTGATTACCCATCAAACTTCAGCCCGACCTTCGTCGGAACACCGTCCAGCCTCCGACCCCACCGGACCTCCGCTTGGCCTCCTACTTCAGGCTAACTTCAGCCCAACCATCGCCAGACCTTTGCCCTGCCGCCGACAACCACCGGACCACCGTATGTCTCCGACTTCTGCCAGACTTCAGCCCGACCATCATCAGACCTTTGCTCGGCCGTCGACCGCTGCCGGACCACTTCCCGGCTCCGACTGTCATCGGACTTCAGCCTGACATTCGTCAGAACACCGCCTAGCTGCCGACCACCGCCGGACCTCTGCGTGGCCGCTGACCGCCGCCGGACTTTAGCCTGACCTTCGTCGGACCACCGCCTGGCCACTGATCGCCGCCGGACCACAGCACGACCATCGTTGGCCTTTTTCCCGGCTTCCATCCGCCGTCCGTCGTTGGACTTTAGCCCAACATTGGTCGGACCACCGCTCGGCTGCTAACCATCGTCGGACCTTCGCCCGGCCGCCTTCCTCTTTTGGAGCTTCGCCCCATCACCATTCATCACCAGACCTTCTTTGGGTCATCGACCACTGCCGAACCTCCGTCCGGTCGCCGTTCGCTATTAAACTTTAGCCCAACCATCGTCGAACCACCGCCCGGCCGCCGTTTATCACCAGACCTTTGACTAGCTATTCAAATTACTGTAATATGATAACCTCTAAATCGAGAGACGGGTCAACTCTTGTAATTCACTCAAGTTTAGTGGAATCTTTTCACCTGGGCGAGGCCCCGTGGTTTTTCCCTCTTCGGGCTTTCCACGTTAAAAAGATTGGGTGTTTTGCTTCTCTCTTTCTGTTTTTGTGCTGGATATCCGTGCATCGCTAAAATGAAAAGTTTACCCACTCTACTGCCACAAATTCTTTAGGTCGCAACAAAAATAAATCTAGAAGTCATCTCCTTTATTTGAAGCATAAAAAATTATGTCCCTAAATTCTTGTTCATCAAAACATTTCCATCCAAAAGCATCAATATCAGTAGTGCCAATTATTTCATTGTCATTTCGAACATCATCTAGGACATCATCATCTGCATATTAGAATTATAAAATCTTATATATATTAAACGTCTCTTTCAAATGATATAAATTAAACTAATCATAAACTTACTTTGAAGTTCTTTAGTACAACTAGTATTAAGTTCTTCAACAACAAGAATGACATCTTTAGCATATATTTCATTCTCTAAATTCTCCAGAATGAGCTCTGAACTAGTTCTTCATCA